CCTGTGTGTAATTTAATCTTAGTATAAATACAGCTGTTTGTAAGAGACAATTAGTGAACAAACAGCATCATGAAGGCCAAGGAACACCAGACAGGTCAGGAATAACATTGAGGAGACGTTTAAAGCAGGGTTAGGTTATAAAAAAACCCCAAGCTTTGAACATCTCACAGAGCACTGTTAAATCCATAATCTGAAAATGGAAAGAATATGGCACAACTGCAAACCTGCCAAGACATGGCCATTCCCTAAACTGACAGGCCGGGCAAGGAGAGCATTAATCAGAGAAGTAGCCAAGAGGTCCATGGTAACTCTGGAGGAGCTGCAGAGATCCACAGATCAGGTGGAAGAATCTGTCCACAGGAAAACCATTAGTCGTGCACTCCACAAATCTGGCCTTTATGGAAGAGAGGCAAGAAGAAAGCCATTGTTGAAAGAAAGCTATAAGAAGTCCCGTTTGCAGTTTGTGAGAAGCCATGTGGGGAACACAACAAACTTGTAGAGGAAGGTGCTCTGGTCAGATGAGACCAAAATTAATTAAACTTTTTGGCCTAAAAGCAAACCGCTGTGTGGCTGAAAACTAACACTGCACACCACCCTGAACACACCATCTCCACCGTGAAACACGGTGGTGACAGCATCATGTTGTGGGGATGAGTTTCTTCAGCAAGGACATGGAAGCTGGTCAGAGTTGTTGGGAAGATGGATGGAGCCAAATACAGGGCAATCTTAGAAAACCTATTAGAATCTGCAGAAGACTTGAGACTGAGGTGGAAGTTCACCTTCCAGCAGGACAATGACCCTAAATATACAGCCAGAGCTACAATGGAATGGTTTACATCAAGCGTATTCATGTTTTAGAATGACCCAGTCAAAGTCCAGACCTCAATCCAATTGAGAATCTGTGGCAAGACTTGAAAATCGCTGTTTACAGACACTCTCCATCCAATCTGACAGAGCTTGAGCTATTTTGCAAAGAAGAATGGACAAAAATGTCACTCTCTAGATGTGGAAAGCTGGTAGAAACATACCCAAATAGACTTGCAGCTGTAATTGCAGCGAAAGGTGGTTCTAGAAAGCATTGACTAAGGGGGCTGAATACAAATGCACGCCACAATTTTTGAGATATTTATTTGTAAAAAATTTTGAAAATCATTTATCTTTTTCCTTCCACTTCACAATTATGTGCCACTTTATGTTGGTCTATCACATAAAATCCCAATAAAATACATTTACGTTTTTGGTTGCAACATGACAAAACGTGGAAAATTTCAAGGGGTATGAATACTTTTCGAATGCACCGTATGTACTGTAGGTGAAGTCCTGGCTGGGATTTAAACCAAGAACCCTAGTGCTGCAAGGCAAAACTGGTAACAACTAAGCCACTAACCTAGATACATGCAAACAGCAGCAGATCTGGCCATTTATTTGTACAGGGTACAAATCAGGCCACATAGCTTATGGCTGCAGCTGTCCACACACAATATGTAAATGGGGCAGAAGATTCTCCAATACAGAAAGTCGCCCATATGAGGAAGCCCTTAAATTGTAAGTATGACTCTTCCCCAACCTGTTACTATCCTTACAGGCAATGGTGTCTCTTCAAGGACCATTGAAGAAGATGAGAGCATTTCTTCACAGACAAATGAAGAAAATGCCCATATCTCTTCAAGGACCAATGAAGAAAGTGTGAGCATCTTTTCTAGCATCAATGAAGAAGGTGACAATATCTCTTGAAGGGCCAATGAAGGAGATGAGAGCATCTCTTCTAGGATCAATGAAGAAGGTGACAGTATCTCTTCAAGGACCAATGAAGAAGTTGAGAACATTTCTTCTAGAATAAATGAGGAAGGTGATAGTGTCTTTTTAAAGGTCAACCAAAAGTAAACTTCACTAAAAGTAACTTCTGATTATATATCGTTTTTAAATGTGAAACAGTGAAGTACCCTCATAGCTGACAGGTTCACTTTATTAGCAGCCCTGTAGCTCTAGAAATGATATCATCACCCTATCCAATTTCAGGCCAATTGTATATAGTGAATTTAGGTGTACGGACAGTGGCAGACAATCCAATCCAATGCCAGTGGACAGCAATTGTCTGTATGTTCCTTCTGCCTTTCCCCATAACTTAGATAAGAACTATTAGGTGGCTGAATGTTTTATGTTTCAGACAATCAGATAATTTCTTCAAGACTGACCATCATCTGAGATATATGGGCAGTCGCTCCCAAATGTTTCCTTAATTAAACTGCAAACAAAACTTATGAAAGACACATATTTCCACCTCCATTAGCTTTCCTTACTTTTCTGAGCCTGACACTTTAGCTGGGCTGTCAGGGGGTCAAAGGTCACCTAATGTGTGATGGTTACTGACCTCTCAACTGCCTGACCTCAAAAGTTCCAAAATAGGTATTTGACATTGTTAAAACACTGTCAGGAGTCTATAGAAAAAGTGCATCCATCACAGGTTTGAAGGTTTACTTGATCAGGAAGTAGTGTAGTCATGTGATCACTAAAACAAAATTAATACAAAGTATTCAGCACACGTTTCTTATATCGATGTGGCTTTCATGTTAAAGCATTTTAACCCTCAAAAACAAAGATGTGTCCATGTTTTCCTTTTAGGAAGGTTTGAAGATGCAGCTACTCAACTTCGGTCATCTAGCTAACATGTTTCTCGGCCTTGCCTTCAAATGAAGAAAAGAACTCAAAGTTGGTTATCTTTTCGAATGACCAGCTAGTTATAATATTAGTGATAGCATTGCCATCCAAAAGTGCTAATAAAGTCCCAGAAGATGCTCCACTCTTCTATGTGGTTGAGAGGAAGAGGTACTTTCATTCCCTGATAGCTTAAGTTGCTGCTATGGTGATTGTAGTTCAGTCACTGGCTCAGTTACAGTTGGATTTGCATGTACTTTTCTTACAGGATATATATTTGGACACAGATATTTTGCTTATACAGTGATATAATAAATCTAAGAGTATTTGAAGGGCTGCAATGCTTATTTTCCCAGGAAAAATGGTGCTTATATAATAAATGAGAGGAGCAACCAATATGAATGCTGGCCCTTCCCTTCAGCTGATGTCATGTGACCAAAACAGCCAAGCTTTTGAACCTTTGACTAGCACTTGAGACAATGGCTTGGGGCAATGGTTTCATCAGAAAAGGTAAGTATTAAATCCTTTCCATTACTTTTTATTTGACTGTTATCATATGTTTAAATTTTCATCTGAATAGAGGTCCACCTTAAATTCATGCAGGGAACCCAACCTACCTCCTGAGTGTCTCTAATTGTCCTGTTTAGAGTGTAAGCTCATGTTGACACCCATACTGTGCCTTGTTAGCCCAAGGCTGCTTAGCTAGCAAAAAACTTTGTATTTGCCAGTATCTTCATTTTTAAGATGGCCCTGAATCTCAGCCTCTGAAAATGCAGGCTGGTGTGTTCCCTGGTTCTGGGCACTGCCATATTTATGCTAGGTACACACTAGAAGTTGTTTCTACATTCAAACAGCCTGAATGAAAAAAAAAAACTGAGAGGTTGTCGTATTAACTAAGCGATGTTAGTGTGATGTCCTCCCCCTCTGAGCTTTTGTGTTCTAACAGGGGGACTGCCCCCGCCAAAACACACTGATCAGTGCTCACAGCCATTGGCTGCCAGCGCTGATCAGAGACTGGTTTTCCAGCATATCCCTTCGACAAAAGCTGGTCATTACACAGGGTCTATCTTGCTCCTCTCATCCCTTCTGTGGAGTCTCTCTCAGACCGCTGGCCTTGGTCACCTGTATAGCATCAATTTTGGCTCTTTCACCTTCCACCCATTGAGCTCACTATCCATGCTCTCAATTGCCATGCCTAAAACACAGTATTATTATTATTATTATTCAGTATTTATAAAGCGCCAATAGTTCGCTCAGCGCTGTACATTACAATGGGGGACAGAACAATAGTAATACAATACAATGAAAAACATGAGGGGATTGAGGGCCCTGCTCTTTCGAGCTTACAATCTAGGAGGGAGGGGATGGTGGCACAGGAGGAGATAGCTGTGGGGGATGGAGTGGTAGGAAGAGTGGAGGAGTTCAGCAAGTTAGCAGGGGGTGGGGTAGGCTTCCCTGAAGAAGTGGGTTTTCAGGGTGCACCTAAGGGAGAGGAGAGTAGGTGATAATCTGATGGGTTGGGGCAGGGAGTTCCAGAGGATGGGTGACACCCTGCAGAAGTCCTGGAGGCGGGCATGGGAGGAGGAGACCAGGGAACTAGAGAGAAGGAGGTCTTGTGAGGAGCGGAGTGTGCGTGCTGGGCGGTACTTGGATATTAGGTCAGTGATGTAGTTTGGGGCAGTATGGTGGACAGCTTTGTACGTCAGCGTTAGGATTTTGAATTTGATCCGTTGTGCAATCGGAAGCCAGTGGAGGGTTTGGCAGAGGGGGGTGGCGTAAACGGAGCGGTTGGAAAGGTGAATGAGTCTGGCAGCCGTATTCAGGATCGACTGAGGCGGGGATAGCCAGCGGTGAGGCAGGCCAGTAAGGAGTAAGCCGCTCCCATCATTCCTTCAGTCTATGGTTTGCACTGATCCTTGTATGACATCCATTCATGGATACATCCTTATGGTGATTCTTGCTTTCATTGTTCCATTAAACTGTTTTATATTGTCTGCTGGTTATGATCATTACTGGTTTTTATTCTGGACATTCGCCACGAGCGCTCTGATCTTTTATGCTTTTCTTTTGACTACATACTCCCTATGGTCATTGGAGCAGCTGTGGGATTGCCTGCCTTTTCTTCACCCTGGTTTGCCTGGTGCTGATTGAGGGCATTAGCGCCTAGTCATTTGTTTTTGTCAATACACAGGCTGTTGTACACACTGACCAAATGTTAGGCGGTTTCTATTCCAAAGCAGAGATTCATGTGACAAGAAGTTGCAGACCTTCCTAAAATTATAATGTAAAATCAAAAATAAAGTCAAGGTGAGTAGGTTGGCTGACTGTGGCATGACTGAATGTTCTTACCATGCAAGAGATACTTGTCTGGAGGTTCTGGTTACGGTTTTGGCCAATAACATATATACTCGTGGTGGGTGAGCTTCATACCTTGGTGGTGCTAATATCTCCTCCAGGAACTCCTCTATTTTGTTTACATCTGTCTTCACCTCTCCATTGAAGGTGAGAAAAGGAGGATGAGTGCCCGGTGCAAGGTTGTGTAGATCTGCTGGCTTTCTGTAATTGTAAAAGACAAGAAAAAAAGAATAGTAAAAACTCTGGTGAGATCACCATCTGTAAGCTTTCAGGACTAAGGTACAAAATAAAACATTTGCCCTTCATGCATATAACTTACGTTGGACCTGGACAACTCTTCTCAAAGTCTAGGAGTGAACCAGTTCAGTTTTAGGAGCCTGGAGCAACACTGTTTGGATATGATGCATGGAGTTTTCCTCAACCTCCTCCACAAACATACCGTACATACTGTACTTGACGCAGCAATATACAGTTACCTTATCCTCCACCCCTGCCACAGACCAAGCCAGCCATATACATACACATATTTCATAACTACACCTAAGTACTGGTGGATAGTCTGTGTTGTGACCCTGATAGCTGGATATCAGGATACAAGAAATCAAGGGAGGGAAACTGCTCCCTCCCTCATTGCTAGCAGAGATAGAACCCGTCTGTATTTTACTTCTCTAGGAACAATCAACAGATTCAGAGCTAGTGCTGGGCTTTCGTATTAGAAACCCCAGAATGCTATGCAAGCATTCTAATATGGATGCACCTCGTTGAAATATTTATTTTTCTAAAATGGTTTTTCAAAAACGCAAAACAAAAGTATAATCTGGTAAACTTTGGGGGAAAAAATTGTTATAGTTCCCCTTTAAGCCCTGGTTCACACTTGTGCGGCTTTGAAGCCATGCTACTTCAGCTACCAGTGCGATTTTCATGTGCGGCTTACTGACTTCATTTAACGGATGTCAATGCAAGTCGCAATGAAGTCACACAGAAATAGTGCAGGAACCTTTTTCAAAGTCTTGCAACTTGAGTCTTAGCGTTTTACATGGTTTCATTGCCACAAATGGGGTGCAACTTGTCATGGGACTTTAAGTGCCAAGTAGCATGACAAGTCGCATTGGTGTGAACCAGGGCTAAGAAAAAAATGTGGTAGGATAGACATTCGCCATTAATATACAGTAATCCAATGTAGAATTGTTTTTGATAGAATGGAGAAGGGTTAAAACCACTGGCAGGTATTTATTTTTGTCTGTCTCTCTATTGTGGAGATGCACCATCATTATTTCTCTATTTGTCCTTGTGACCATTGTTACCAAGAGAGAAATTTATGCAGGCAGAAAATATTTTACAGGTGCCACTGGAACAATTTTTACAGCTTTAACTGATATTATATTTCCACAATTTTTGAATTGAAAATGGAATAGAAGAGAAAACGCTCAGAAACATATGATTTGTTGTCTTTCAAAAAAAAATTCCTGTCCACTGAACACCTTGTTTGTTAACCGCTGTCCCGCTGCCCTATAGCAGAACTACTACTACAGGGCGGCAAGGCTGTGCAAAATCACGTGTATATATATATATGTGATTTGCATTTCCGGGTAGGGGCCGCACATGTGCCCTACCCACGCGACCATTGACGGCTATGAATGTCAATCACCGGGTCCCAGCTGGAGATTCCCCGCCAGCACCTGGCAATCGCTGTGTAGAACTGACAGGGGAGTAAAGAACACAGGTCTCTCTCCTGCCAGTAAGGACATGCTGCCGTGTATTTCTCTGCACAGCAGAGAAATACACAGCAGCATGTCTCCCTGTCTCCCTAGTAAAACACACACAGCATATCATGTAAAACAGCACACTGTTAACCCCTTCTTGCCCAGTGTCATTAGTACAGTGGTAGTGCAATTTTATTAGCACTGATCACTGTGTTCGTGTCATTGGGATGTCAGTAGCAGTTAGTCATTCACCCCCCCAGTGTCAGAATGCTTGCCTCAGTCCCGCAGTTTCACTTTAAGTTGCTGATCGCTACCATTACTAGTATAAAAAAAAAAAAAATCCAGTATATATACCATTTATAGATGCTTTAACTTTCACGTAAACCAATTAATTTGGATTCTTTTTAGCAAAGACGTAGCAGAATACATTTTGGCCTACATTTTTTGAATAAATTTGATTTTTTACATTTTTTTTAATGGATATGTTTTATAGCAAAAAGTCAAAAATATTGTTTTTTTTTTCAAAATTGTCAGTCTTTTTGTGTTTATGGGGCAAATAATTGAACACACAGAAATGGGAGTTCTTCAGAAAGACTGTATGTGAACACACTGCAAAATATATTCCCATGGGCAACAAGTTTAAAAGGCTAAAAATCAAACCTATGTGGCTTACGGCCAAAGGTAAAAAAGCCATAGATAATAACAAAAGAGCTTTTATTAAATATAAAAATGAAGGAACGCTATCATCGTTTAAACATTACAGAGAATATAACAGAATATGCAAAAAGGAAATAAAGGCCGCAAAAATTGAAAACAAACGACAGATTGCAAAAGATAGCAGGACCAACCCAAAAAAATTCTTCAAATATATTAATAGTAAAAAGGTTCAGTCCGAGCATGTAGTTTTTACAAAATAATCAAGAGTGGGTGACTGCAGACAAAGAGAAGGCAAATTTATTAAATACCTTCTTCAGCTCTGTGTATACAAAGAAGCATGGGGGAGCTCTTTTCCTTATAATGGGCATGGTATTGACACAGCTCCAAATGATCCACATTGGCTCACAATTGATATGATCCAAAAATATTTAGACAGAATAAAGGTGAATAAAGCACCTGGACCAGATGGCATACACCCACGGGTCCTTAAAGAATTGATCACTGTAATTTTAAAGCCATTGTTTCTCATTTTTAGGAACTGTTTAATGACTGGCATAGTACCACTGGATTGGCGTAAGGTCAATGTCGTTGCAATATTTCAAAAGGGGTCAAAATATTTACAGAATATTTACAAAATAATTATAGATCTGTTAGTTTAACTTCTATAGTTGGAAAGATACTGGAGAGTTTAATAAAATACCACATAGATGAGTTCTTGTTGGGAAAAAATGTTTTAAGCAACAGACAGCATGGATTCATGAAAGACAGAAGTTGTCAAACAAATATGATTTCTTTTTATGAGGGGGTGAACAAAACCTTGGACAGAGGGGTGGCCTTTGGACGTGGTATACTTGGACAGAGGGGTGGTGGTGGATGTGGTATACTTGGACAGAGGGGTGGCGGTGGATGTGGTATACTTGGATTTTGCAAAAGTGTTTGACACAGTTCCCCACACATGGCTAATGTGTAAGGTAAAGTCTACAGGCTTGGAAAAATCAATATGTAAATGGTTGGAAAACTGGCTAAAAGATCGTATTCAAAGAGTAGTGGTTAATGATCCATACTCTGAATGGTCTAGGTTGTCAGTGGTGTACCCCAAGGTTCAGTGTTGGGACCCTTACTTTTTAATATATTTATAAACGATATAGGGTCTGGGATTAAAAATCCCATTTCAGTCTTTGCAGATGACACCAAGCTGTGCAGTGGAATAACGTCTTTACAGGATGTCTCCAATTTACAAGCTGACCTCAATGCACTGTTTAATTGGGCAACTATGTGGCAAATGAGGTTTAATGTTGATAAATGTAAGGTGATGCACTTGGGGGCTAAGAATATGCATGCATCATACATACTCGGGGGGGTACAACTGGGGGAATCAATGGTGGAGAAGGATCTGGGGGTTCTGGTAGATCACAAGCTTAATAATGGCATGCAATGCCAAGCTGCGGTTTCTAAAGTGAGCAAAATCCTCTCTTGTATTAAAAGAGGTATAGACTCCAGAGAGAGAGATATCATATTACCCCCCCGGTACAAATCATTAGTAAGACCTCATCTGGAATATGCAGTTCAGTTTTGGGCACCAATTCACAAAAAGAACATTGGGGAACTGGAGAAAGTACAGAGAAGGGCAACCAAACTGATACGAGGCATGGAGGAGCTCAGCTATGAGGAAAGATTACAGGAACTGAATTTATTCTCTCCTGAGAAGAGGAGATTAAGGGGGGATATGATCAACATGTATAAATACATCATATAGACAATAAAGGTGCAGCGCTATTAATAAAAATAGTGAAATATCAACATACACTCAATTTTTAAGAGTATAAAGATGAGGACATTAGATCATATTGTTCATCTTAAGATAAATTCGATGTTCAGTCTAATGTCCAAAAACATAAAAGGATGTGATGTGCAAATTCTGCCGGGTCTCCTTTGCCAATAAGGATAAGTGATCCAAAGGTGAACAGGAAATAAATTAAATGCGCGCTCACCAGAAGTGCGTTTAAAATACGCATGAAAGAAGTTTCCTCTCTCATCAGGTACATCTAGGTCCTCCACACTCAGGTCAAGCTGCGCTCCCTGGTCCTCACTAGTCATCCATCATGGCCAGGTTCCCTGGTTCCTCAGACACTCATGCACCTCTGGGGTCCCTCCTTAAACTTGATACTGCGAAAGGGTGGCGCTCATAAAGAGCCCAATACACATCACATCACATAGCGTGATACTGCATAAAAGCACTTTATTCCAGAAGTAACGATGAAAACATAAAAGTAAAATACTGACCGCAATGATTAACCGCTTGCCGCCCTGCCACTGTGTATATACGTGTGCAGGGCGGCAGTGGAGCGCAAAACCACGTTTAAAAAAGGGTTTTTGCTCTCCCGACACTTTCGCCGGCAGGGGGCGCGCGCGCGCTCCCCGCCGACCCGCGGGTGACACGATTTGATCCAGGAGGGATCAATCATTAGATTTCAGCCAGTGATTTCTGGCTGAAATCACATGATCGGTCCCTGTCCTATCCTGTCCTGTGTTGACATACACACAGGGCAGGATATGATGTCATTCTTCTCTGCCTGGACACATTCCGTTCCAGACAGAGAAGAAGACATCCAAAAAGTGAGTACACAAGCACTACACTACAGTTAGAACACTCTAGGACACATTTAACCCTCTGATCGCCCCCCCCCCCCCAGTTAACCCTTCACTGCCCTGTCACCAGTGTCACTGATCAGTGAAGCGATTTTTACTGATCACTGCATCAGTGTCGCTGGCGACTTCCGATAGAGTTAGCGTCCCTCCCAGATAGCGCCAGATTGCCCGCCAGTACACCAATACCCGTTTAACCCCTTGATCGCCCCCCCCCCCCCAGTTAACCCCTGCACTGCCCTGTCACCAGTGTCACTGATCAGTGAACCAATTTTTACTGATCACTGTATCAGTGTCGCTGGCGACTTCTGATAGAGTTAGCTCCCCTCCCAGATAGCGCCAGATTGCCCGCCAGTACACCAGTAATCCTGTTTAACCCCTTGATCGCCCCCCCCCCCCCTCCAGTTAAACCCTTCACTGCCCTGTCACCAGTGTCACTGATCAGTGAACCAATTTTTACTGATCACTGTATCAGTGTCGCTGGCGACTTCCGATAGAGTTAGCGTCCCTCCCAGATAGCGCCAGATTGCCCGCCAGTACACCAGTAATCCCGTTTAACCCCTTGATCGCCCCCCCCCCCCCAGTTAACCCCTGCACTGCCCTGTCACCAGTGTCACTGATCAGTGAACCAATTTTTACTGATCACTGTATCAGTGTCGCTGGCGACTTCCGATAGAGTTAGCGCCCCTCCCAGATAGCGCCAGTTTGCCCGCCAGTACACCAGTAATCCCGTTTAACCCCTTGATCGCCCCCCCCTCCAGTTAACCCTTCACTGCCCTGTCACCAGTGTCACTGATCAGTGAACCAATTTTTACTGATCACTGTATCAGTGTCGCTGGCGACTTCCGATAGAGTTAGCGCCCCTCCCAGATAGCGCCAGTTTGCCCGCCAGTACACCAGTAATCCCGTTTAACCCCTTGATCGCCCCCCCCCCCAGTTAACCCCTTCACTGCCCTGTCACCAGTGTCACTGATCAGTGAACCAATTTTTACTGATCACTGTATCAGTGTCGCTGGCGACTTCCGATAGTGTTAGCGCCCCTCCCAGATAGCGCCAGACTTGCCCGCCAGTACACCAGTAATCCCGTTTAACCCCTTGATCGCCCCCCCCCAGTTAGTTAACCCCTTCACTGCCCTGTCACCAGTGTCACTGATCAGTGAACCAATTTTTACTGATCACTGTATCAGTGTCGCTGGCGACTTCCGATAGAGTTAGCGCCCCTATAGCGTCAGTTTGCCTGCCAGTACCCAGTAATCCCGTTTAACCCAGTTAGCGCCAGTGTCACTGATCAGTGATTTGCCCGCCAGTACACTGGCGACTTCCGATAGTGTTAGCGCCCCTCCCAGATAGCGCCAGAACCCGCCAGTACCCAGTAATCCCGTTGAACCGCCCCCCCCCCAGTTAACCCCTTCACTGCCCTGTCACCAGTGTCACTGATCAGTGAACCAATTTTTACTGATCACTGTATCAGTGTCGCTGGCGACTTCCGATAGTGTTAGCGCCCCTCCCAGATAGCGCCAATTTGCCCGCCAATACACCAGTAATCCCATTTAACCCCTTAATCTCCCCCCCCCCCCCCCAGTTAACCCATTCACTGCCCTGTCACCAGTGTCACTGATAAGTGAACCGATTTTTACTGATCACTGTATCAGTGTCGCTGGCGACTTCCGATAGTGTTAGCGCCCCTCCCAGATAGCGCCAGATTGCCCGCCAGTACACCAGTAATCCCGTTTAACCCCTTGATCGCCCCCCCCCCCAGTTAACCCCTTCACTGCCCTGTCACCAGTGTCACTGATCAGTGAACCAATTTTTACTGATCACTGTATCAGTGTCGCTGGCGACTTTCCGATAGTGTTAGCGCCCCTCCCAGATAGCGCCAGTTTGCCCGCTAGTGCACCAGAAATCCCATTTAACCCCTTGATCGCCCCCCCCCCCCCCCCCAGTTAACCCCTTCACTGCCCTGTCACCAGTGTCATTGATTACAGTGAACAGATTTTTACTGATCACTGTATTAGTGTCACTGGTGACTTCCGATAGTGTTAGCGCCCCTCCTAGATAGCGCCAGTTTGCCCGCTAATGCACGGGATTTTTTTTTACCAAAAACATGTAGCAGAATACATTTTGGCTTAAATTTATGACTAACTTTGAGTTTACGATATATTTTTTATAGCTGAAAGTAGAAAATATTGTTTTTTTTTTTTTTTAATTTTTGTGGTTTTTTTGTTTATTATAGCGCAAAAAATAAAAAGCGCACAGGTGATCAAATACCACCAAAAGAAAGCTCTATTTATGTGAAAAAAAGTACGTAATTTTCGTTTGGGTGCAGCATTGCATGACCGCGCAATTATCATTTGAGTTAGTGCAGCGCTGTATAGCAAAAAAAGGCATAAATTACAGTATCTATACCATAGTTTGTAGACGCTATAACTTTCACACAAAGCAATCAATATGCACTTATTGGGATTTTTTTTACCAAAAACATGTAGCAGAATACATTTTGGCTTAAATTTATGACTAACTTTGAGTTTACGATATATTTTTTATAGCTGAAAGTAGAAAATATATGTTTTTTTTTTTTTCAAAATTTTTGTGGTTTTTTTGTTTATAGCGCAAAAAATAAAAAGCGCACAGGTGATCAAATACCACAAAAAGAAAGCTCTATTTGTGTGAAAAAAAGGACGTAAATTTTGTTTGGGTACAGCATTGCATGACCGCGCAATTATCATTTGAATTAGTGCAGCGCCAAACAGCAAAAAAAGGCCTGGTCATTAAGGGGGGTAAATCCTCTGGGGCTCAAGTGGTTAAAGAATAGCCACCAACGGTGGCTTAGATGTCCAGATGCTGTAGCCCCCCTATAAATACATCAGCGGTTCATATAGTGAACTCGGTGTAGAGTTATTCACCCTGAGGTCATCACAGAGGACAAGGGGGCACTCTTTACATCTGGAGGAAAAGAAATGTAATCTCCAAACACGGTTTCTTCACAGTAAGAGCTGTGGAAATGTGGAATAGACTCCCTCAAGAGTTGGTTCTGGCCAGCTCAGTAGATCACTTTAAAAAAGGCCTGGATTCTTTCTTGGATACACAGAATATAACTGGATACTAACATTTATAGGTAAAGTTGATCCAGGGAATATCCTATTGCCTCTTGGGGTACAGGAAGGAATTTTTTCCCCTGCAGGAGCAAATTGGATCATGCTTTGCTGAATTTTTTTGCCTTCCTCTGGATCAATTGTGGGTGTAGGATTATAACTTTTTTTATGATTGAACTGGATGGACTTTTGTCTTTTTTTCAGCCAGATTAACTATGTACCTGTAATTAAAAACACACAGGTGATCAAATACCAACCAAAAGAAAGCTCTATGTGTGGGAACAAAGGGACATAAATTTAATGTATGTACAGAGTTGCATGACCGTGCAATTGTCAGTTAAAGTAACGCAGCGCCGTATCACAAAAAATGGCCTGTTCAGGAAGGGGGTAAATCCTCTGGAGGGCAAGTTGTAAACCCTTACATATACCCAGTGAAATGACTGGTCACAGATGATACACAGAGATGAAACAAATCCTCTGGCATAGGTTGTACCTGTTTATCTGAAATCTTCTCTTCTCTACATCAGTTCAAATTGCTGAATTTATAAAGTTTGTCTGAGAGTTCAGAAAAAAGGGACGGATAGCTGAAATTACACTCTGCTGAGCTCAGTGCAGAGAGCTCTGAGAGCTGATTGGAGATTGGATTGAAGACATACACCCCTCCACACAGCTCACGGGAAACAGAGCCAAGCTGTCAATCTGCTGGAGGTTCCACCCTATCACCTTTTTTCTCTTGGTGTCAGGAAAACTTTTCAGAAATGATTCATGCTGATCGCAGAGGAACGAAGCAACAAGCAGAAATTATACTTAGTGCTCTTAATTTAGACGCGAATGCTAAACGCCCTCTATAGCGTTTACGAAAGTAAATGCTTTTAGAGGGATATGCTTTGTTCATGTTTCATGTTTGAGATTTACAATCAATTTAAATCAGCTGTATCTGTGAGTGTGTTTGTTAGGCTGGAGCCACACCAGGCTGAATCTTACCTCTTCAGGTCAACCGTGGTTACGTTGAAGACAACTCCTTTCAGCCAGAGGATCATAAAGAGGCGTTGAGAGAAAGGACAGTTTCCTATACTCTCTCCATCACTGCCAGCCTAAAAGAGAGGGAAGTCATCATTATAACTCATAGATACCTGTATACTTAGTCAGGATTTACAGCTCTATAATAGTTAAAGCATCAATGGGTGTAATAATAGTGTGTTTTCTACTGACCCTCATTACCAGACAACAGTGCCCCACACCAACATGTTAACGTAAATGTAAAACCAAAAATGTTTCTATAGTTTTGGAAAGAGTAGGGAAGGCTTAGAACCACTTAGTCCCTGATCTGGAATAAGTGTGAGGCACTAGATTGTTACCTTGTTACCTTGGTGCTGGTCCAAAAGGAGCCTCTCAAAGACTGACATCTTAGGTACAAACTAATGTTACATAGTTAGTCTGGCTGAGAAAAGACAAAAGTCCACCCAGGTCAACCATTAAAGAAAAAAAAAAGTTATAATTCTATACCCACAGTTGGTCCACAGGAAGGCAAAAAAACCCAGCAAAGCATGATCCAATTTGCTCCTGCAGGGAAAAAAATGTCCTGATCCCCCGAGAGGCAATCGGATATTCCCTGGATCAACTTTACCTATAAATGTTATATCCAGTTATATTCTGTGTATCTAGCAAAGAATCCAGGTCTTTTTTTTAAAGCAATCCACTGAGCTGGCCAGAACCAACTCTTGAGGGAGTCTATTCCCCTCTAATGTGCAGGGGGGAAAGCACCAGACACTTTCTAGTACAGAAAATAAATGTATTAAAAATCACATTCGATGACAGCCAGCGCATTTCAGAAGATACTTGACTAGATTCTTTCCGACCCAGAAACATGTTGGCTGTTACTGAACTTCAAAAATAATTCCACTTTCTTTCTTACACATCAAGTTTTTATGGCTGTCTATGTCCCTACTTGACAGTGGTCACAGGAACTGACAGTGAAGGGAAATACCAAACTTTGAATTGTGACCACTGTCTAAGAGGGGATTTCCCTCATTTCGGACAGTTTAACTCCCTGTTGTGTCTATAGGACAGAAAGAGCAGGAAAAACCCCAAATTGGACACATATGCCAGAAAACCTGATAGGGGTTTTCGCTAATCTATCCAAAATATAAAAAACATAGTTTTAGTTATATGTGTATCTAAAACCAAAACATTTTTAGATATAACAGGAAAGCCTAATTCTGGGCACCTTCATTTTTACATATTTAAATCCGTTGATTATTTGTTACAAATTTTGATGCTCCAATTTAGTTTTTATTTAGAAAGCCATTGGCATAACATGACAAAGCACAGCTGACCCCAGTTGCTGACAGGTTACCTACAGGTTGGGTTCTGTTCTAGTTAGACAGTTCATCTGCCCAGGTTGAGGAAGGGGTTATCTGATTCCAATTTCCTTTCCTGGGTTTTTTAGGTGTTTCCTTCCCGCCAAGTGTTATACAGAAAGGGAGAGAAGGCTAGGTTAGAGGAGAACGCTCCTGCTGATGTGGTGGCCCATTCCTGCTGCTATGGAGCACTAAAGAATCTGCAACAGAACACCGGACAACTGCCATCCTGTGGAGAATACCAATTATTATAGGTACTTATATAGTGCTGTCAATTTACTCAGGGCTTTACATATATATTGTACATTCACATCAGTCCCTAACCCTCAAGGGGCAAACAATCTAAGGTCCCTAACTCACATTCATACATACACAAACTAGGGCCAATTTAGACAGGATCCAATTAACCTACCAGCATGTCTTTGGATTATGGGAGCAAACTCATGCAGGCACAGGGAGAACATGCAAACTCCAGGCAGGTGGTGCTATGGTAGGGATTTGAACCAAGGAACCTAGTACTGCCAGGCAGAAGTGCTAACCATTTAGCCACTGTGGCTTAACCACTTGAGCTCCTGAGGATTTACCCCCCTTAATGACCAGGCCTCTTTTTGCTACTCGGCACTGCACTAATTCAACTGATAATTGCGCGGTCATGCAATGCTGCACACAAACAAAATTTACGTCCTTTTTTTCACACAAATAGAGCTTTCTTTCGGTGGTATTTGATCATCTGTGCGCTTTTTATTTTTCACGCTATAAACATAAAAAGGCCAAAAATTTTGAAGAAAAAATATTTTTTATTTCAGCTATAAAAAATATATAGTAAACTCAAAGTTGGTTATAAATTTAGGCCAAAATGTATTCTGCTACATGTTTTTGGTAAAAAAAATCCCAATGAGTGTATATTGATTGCTTTGTGTGGAAGTTATAGCGTTTACAAACTATGGTATAAATACTGCAATTTACGCCATTTTTCTGCTATACAGCGCTGCGCTAGTTTAACGGACAATTGTGCGGTCATGCAATACGATACATAAATGAAATTTACATCCTTTTTTTCCCCACAAATTGAGCTTTTTCAGGTGGTATTTGATCGCCTGTGCGGTTTTTATTTTTTGCGCTATAAAAAAAAAGGCTGACAATTTTGAGGAAAAAAAAAATATTTTGGACTTTTTGTTATAAAACATGTTCAGTAAAAAAAAAATGCAAAAATCAAATTTAGTCATAAATTTCTGCCAAAATGCATTCTGCGACATGTCTTTGCTAAAAAAAAAAAACCCAATACGTGTAAATTAATTGGTTTACGTGAAAGTTATAGCGTTTACAAATGGTGGGAAAGATACTGGGATTTTTAGGTTTTTTTTCATACTAATAATGGCGGCGATCAGCGAATTATGGCGGCGATCAGGGACTTATGGCAGCGACCAGCGACTTATGGCGGGACTGCGGCGGACATTCTGACATTGGGGGGTACTGACTTGGGGTCACTGACATCCCTAAAAACACTAATACAGTGATCAGTGCAAAAAAAAAAAAAAAACTGACACTGTACTAATGGCAATGGGGAGGAAGGGGTTAACTTTATTTTGCAGGGAAGGGTTATAGGAGTGAGGGGAGTGTTTTACTAGGGGCCGGGGGTGTGTGCTGGACGGGACACAGCTGATCGAGAAAAGAAAACTCTTCTTTCTCGATCAGCTCATCCTCGAGCTGACAGGGAAGTGACAGACAGCACAGCTACTGCAGCTGTGCTGTCTATCACTGTTTGCCGCCGATCGCCGGGACATAGCCGCTAACGAGCGGCTGTGACCCGGCGACTGACATCTGCGGCGGTGATCGGCGGGACAAATAGGGCGGCGGCGCGCCTCGCGCGCGCGCGCCCCCTATTTGTTTACAAAACACACGTCTTAAAACGTGGTTTTGCCTGTGAGTGCCGCCCTGCCGCCGTATATGTACAGTGGCTGGGCGGCATGCGGTTAAACATGTGACAAGGTATGCCTGGGCAGCTAGAGATTAGCCAGTGAGGATTAAAATGTTTTGCACTAAAAGTTCTGTTGGAATTTTTTTGAAATCTGCAGTAAAATTTTTAAATGTTCCAAGCATGATCTGAAGTTATTCAAAGAGGTGCATGGTAGATATTTTTATATCAGAAGAACAGGGTCTGTAAATCACTTTGAGGTTACGGAGACTCTCAGCCCAGCTGCATGGTACAGGAGAAAGTAATGAGTTAACTTAGAGCATGCATGAGGTCTGTGCTTGGCGGGACCACATTCTTTGCAATGTTCACTGAGTTTAATAAACAAGGTAGAGTTGTGTTCACGTTGATCATCTCATCATGTACAAGAAAATGTACATTATTAGGCTCAATAATCATTCACTTTGCTAAGTGAATTGTCTCTAGTAAACCATACCCAATGACACAGATCAAATATGTGTTCTGACATGGTTGTTCCAGGTCAGTGACCTACTAAATAATGAAGGAAGGATGGAGGTAACAGCTGTGAACCTTACAGATTCCAAAGGGTGAATAATGACACCTCCCATATTTATATTTTGACACACTCCCTTTAAATACACAACAAAAATTCAACAGGAAAAAAGATGAAAAAAGTGCACTTCACTTTAATGCCACTTACTTCTGTAACTTGCATGTTCTTCATTATTGGCTGGCTGAACTAGTGCTCTAATATTGTATGCATTAGTCATGCCTTTAACAAAAATGTTTGGCTAGCCATAGACTTAGCTTACTGGATTAATTTGTGTTGCTCTGTTTCCATTGGGGAGATTTCTCTGTTAAATTAGAGGAATGTATTCAATCGGAACACAGACAATAAAAAACCAGATCAGGATTTTAACAAGCCTTCACTGACTTCTCTAGCTGCAGATACTGTGGAGTAATTCATCTTCAAACATTTGTGGACACTGAATGTTGTACAAACTACACTCCTCCTTCTGCATTTACCAATAATTTCTGGCTGTCAGAATGACAGCTGGGAGTTGTGTAAATACAGCAGCTGTTACAGTCACTGATGTCGAAAAAAAAAACCTTCTGACAGTGCTAAGAAACACTAATCAGAGCAGTATTCAGAGATACAAAGTAACATTAATTTTCAGATCTATAGCCCACGGAACATCGGTGTGATCAGCAAGCTGTTGATATAATAATCGTTATTTTTAGAAATAGCATTAAAGCGGAGTTTCACCCAAAAGTGGAAGCTCTGCTTGTTTGCTTCCTCCCCCCCTCCACTGCCATATTTGGCACCTTTTGGGGGGGAGCAGGTACCTGGTTTTGAAAGGTATCTGCTCTCTACTTCCAGCTCAGTTTGCCGCGGCGAAGTGAGACGGATGTTCTGCCCCCTCCTTCCTCCCGCAGTCTCCTGGGAACTTTCTCAGGTCCCAGAAGACTGCTGGACCAATCAGGACGTGCAGCGCAACTCGCGCATGTGCAATGGGCACCCGGCTGTGAAGCTGCAAGCTGTCACAGCCGGGTGCCCACAGTTGAGATGCTGGAGTCAGGGAGAGAAGAAGAAGAGAAGGGACGGCGCGGGTGAGAACATTGCTGGACCCTGGAACAGGTGAGTGTGCGTTTATTAAAAGTCAACAGCTACAGTTTTTGTAGCTGCTGACTTTTAATAAACACAAAAACAGCTGGAACTCCACTTTACATAACAGAACAAATATTA